CTGCCTTTAACCTTCGCTTAAGGCACAGAGTTGATGTAACATCTAAAAGAATTATATAGAGAGAATCAGATTTAGAAACTTCTCTGGAAAAAAATTCCTCAGCAGCAGGAAATGTGTCGTTTCCTTCCCCCTTTCTCAACATCCAACCTACCTGAAGTAGTGTTTCTGATCTCCATATCTCCTGGGAAGCTGGGTCAGCATTCACAGAAGGCTGATGGGCAATGTGCCGTTTCAGCAAGCTGGTGTGATGCATGCCATAGGAAGTGAAAGGCACGGTTGGAGTCCTTTAAAGATGAACAGAAATGCTGAAATCATTAAGCCTCAGTACGGAGAAATACATCACTGCTTTTGATCACTGGTTTCTTAACTGAAAATCAGCCTCTAAGAAAGAAAACTGCACAGTTGATAGCACATTTTAAAAATTCTGAATGATGCTATAATGACAAGTCACTTTGATTTAAATTAAAAGAAAATCCAACACCACATTATTATTCACACTGCATTGAGCCAGCTTGACACAGCCCTTGTTGTATTCAGTAATGCTGTCTTTAAGAACAAAAATAACGTTCTCCTATTGCTGTGTTTATTCCCTTCTCTGTTCATGTTTATGAAATGCATTCAAAATGCAATTATAAAGGGTATTACTGCTCTATGTTTTCTACATTAACATAAAATGCTAATATTGACAGCACTCAAAATGCAGTGATCTCATTATACAGGTTTGGCTGCACGTACTTAACCTTTTCTGTTCCATTTATAGCTAACTTTCAGACTTTCACTTTTACCATAAAGATTTCATTTAAATGAATATGTACTTTATTTCTGTAATTATGTAACAAGCACGTAGAGGTGATAAAGAGTGGAGGTGTTCTCTTCCTGTTGGAGATCTATTTCCAACAAGCCATGTTCTTTAAGCAGCACTCTCACAGTCTGCCTCTGGCACTGCAGCCATTACCTGGGAGTAGGAGAAGGGATGGCTCCCCCGGGGTTTGAAGAAGGTGGAGGAAGGACACTTCCTTCTGTGGGTAGGAAACACTTGAGGTACGTGTCCACCAAGATGAAATAAGCGCTGTTGGAAGGGCTGATATGCTGGGTGATGGGTGAGTTCTGAAACAGGCAAACAGCAAGTAGAATAACGAGTTGTCTGGGAACTGCTGCAGTGACTGTAATCAGCACGAGGAGAGCATAGTGCGCTGCAGTGCAGCTAACAACAGAAAGAGGGACCAAACAACCAGACAGCACAGTATACCACCATGATTCTGACTGTACAAAAGGTGTTACTGGTAGAAAACTCATTTGGAATCCATTGCCTGCTTCACACTCACAAATCATTGGACAGACTGCTTACTGGTACCCTCCAGATGGGTATTATCAATCATTTCCTTAAAGAACTGAAGCAATAACAATTTCTAGGAGCATACATAAAACTGCCAATTTAGTTGGACAGCCCTTCAGAAGGCTCTTAAAGCACTGTCATAAAGGACTTACACTATTTAAAATTGTGACTTACCTTCTGTGTAATCAAACTAATTGCAAAATAAAACATGTAATATTCAAATGGGTCTGGAATAACAGAGTCAAGGAACAAATAATAGAAAAAACAAAAGGTACAGCTGTTAGATACCTGGGGATGATGACTGGACATTATATTTCCATTTTGTCATGGGCAAGTTAATTTGCTAGAGAGCTTAACAGCAAATTCAGCTTTGCCTTCTTGCTTTCCAACTGACTGAACATAACCAGTAAGTTAGAGGAATGTAAACACATCTTGCTACAAACAGAGAAAGCTTGTCTCAGACTGAAACCCTTACAGTTGCAGCGAGATGGCTTCCAACAAATGCAATAGCAACAAATTTAACAAGCCTTTTGGCTTATTCTGACTCTTATATCTAACTGCTGAAAGGATACTTAGAGCCAAATTCAAATCTAAACCACCAGATGAGGTGAACTGGACTTTGTTGTGGTATAAGGAGCATTCTGGTAGAACCTGCTCTTGTATTGATGCTTTCACAGGACCCTGAAAGAGAGAGCAATGGAATATCAGTTGGGATAATCAGCAACTTGCAGCGAATGTTTTCAGGTTCTCAAACTCTGCAGCATTCTGGGAACACCTCAAAATTCAGCTCAGTGGGGTTTCACTGCATGGCAGTAATTACTTGTGAACGCACACTCTTTAGGTAACTGCCAACTTCACAGAAGAGGAGTATTTCAATGCGAGGAAAGAAAGCATTCACTAAGACTTCTTCCAGTTGGAGTGGGAGCAGCAGCATACTGGTGTCTATCTGATAGCTTTGTTAGGGTAACTGAGCTGTGGAGTAACAATTACTACATAATTAACGATTTATTTACTTAAAAACTATGGAAATATTGAGATCAATAGGATCTAGGTAATATGTGGTAAGAATAGAAGAAATATAGTGAAACAACTTGGCAGATAATCATTTTTGTATAGCTGTGAAATGTTATACTTCATATCCAAACAGCAGCTGACCTTCAGACACACGGGCTCAAAGCACTGCCACTTCCATGCTCCCTGATGAGCATGGAAAACTATTTTCCATTCTAGGACTACTGGTAACCACAATAAGGTGCACCACTTTCTCTGGTGACACAGAAATCACAATGCAATGTTGTTGGTCTAGCAGAACAAACATCTAACTGCTGACAGCCACCATCTCCTACAATGCTTATGGCTGGGAATTCTCCTCTGCAACCATTTAATGAGACACATATGCTATAACATGACCTAGGTTGAACCTTATGTATGAAGTGTGTGCAATGTTCCAACATCTACTTTCTCTTCTTACAAACGTTTCAATTACTCACTGGAAGATAAGAGACAGGGAAATCGTATCTGTACTCTTCTGCTTGGAGCTTGTAAACAAGCTTCATCATTGGACCACTGCAAATGAGTATTGAAAAGAAAATAGATGGTAAGCTTTCTCTTTTGTCTCACCTCTGCGATTATATGTTGGCACTGTTGTAGAAAAGTTACACACTGGTTATTCCCAGTACTTTTTGCTGTACTTACCTGGGATCCAGGAAATCCAAAGCCGCAGAATACTCAGTAGGATTTGTTCTTCCTTGCAAACAGCGAAGGTTCCAGCCCACGATGATGCCATCCAGGCTACCAAAAATGCTCTCCACCAACCACGGGAAAATGCCATGTAGTTCCTTCCAGGAGAACAGACACCAAGAGCATTTATGATTTCTTACTCAAGGAATCTTTATTGCAGGCTTCAGAATACACAAAGATTCTTGCTGCCAGCTATTAACAGCACAGGATTAGTTATTACTGCTTCCAGATTACTACTGGTTATTGATCATTCAGCTTCCACTCAAAATAATTTATCTGTCTTCTGTTCCAACTGGAGTTGCCACAACACCAATCAGCAGCACACTGCTGTAAAAAGTAGATGAGCTTGAAAGGCATAAATGAAGCACAGTTAACTGAACCAGCCCTTTGTTCAACACTTGGGAAATGCCCACTGTTTCACCTGAGATTCCCTGAAGGCAAAACTCTTCTACAGTAAGGGTGGTGAGGCACTGGAACGCTTTATCTAGTGGTGTGGTTGAAGCCCCATCTCTGGAGACTTTCACAGCAAGGCTGGTTAAGGCCCTGGGCAACCCGATCTGTGGTGTGATGCCCCTGTTCATTGCAGGGGAGTTTTTCTGATGGCCCTCAGAGGTCCCTTCCGACTCTGAGGTTGAACTAACGATTCTAACTCTTGGAAAGAGTAATAGGAACAAAGACAACCCAGAGAGCTCCAGGGGCTGTGCTGGGCAGTACACTCCTGGGAAGGCTGCAGCCAGCCACTCACCTTGGCAGGAAACTCCTCTATCACCGTTTCCAGATCGTGGCACCTCTGAGCAAACGGTTTGTTGACGCAGTCCGCCTTCAGCGTGGCCTGTTATAAGTTACGCGAGAATCAGACCCCGGTGCCAAGAAGAGCAACACCTACCACGGCACCAAACCCCATTACGCTGCTCCCCACGAAGCACCACGGCTCAGCGCTGATAACCTCCCCCCTGCCCTCAGCCCAGCCCCACGCACCAGCAGAAAGCTGGGCTGCTGCAGGTACGGGCCAGCCATGTTTCCCAGCCGGGCCTCCCGCCGCGCTTCAGCCGTCGCAGTTCGTTTGCGTCATCGTTCATCCGGCGCGCAGTGATGACGTCAGCGTCACACGTGCAAACTGCCCCCTCCCCAACCGTGCTCTTGTTGCTATGGTGACGCGCTTCCCAGTAGCAGGCTGTGATTACTGGAGCACCAGTAATTTGTGTGGAAAAAAAATATATCTGTCTGCTGCTTTTTTTTTTCTTTTTTTTTTTTTTTTAATGGGAATTTTGCAGCTATTCCAGAAAACCGCAGGAAGACACATGTGGTAGTGCTTAGAGAGGGAATTCCAGCCCAAGACCTGGAAAATAATAATGATTTGTATGATGCACTGAAGGCAGCTGTGCAGTTAAAACCAGTAAACGCAGTTATAGAAAATAATCCTCTTCAGAAAAGTTTAGCTTGATTTCTGCTAAGGTTTACAAGCTTGGTCCAGAAATGTTCGTGTGGTTAAAATGAGCATTTATGTGGTTGTTTTGGTTGTATTTTGTGCAAGGTGGAGGAATGGCTGAGTGAAATGTTCTGGTTTAGGTTGTGCATGAGGTCAGACAAGGTGATGTGGCCTTGTGCTCCATCACAGTCATTAAAACTGAGGGGAAAATAAGTGTAAAAGTTGTGCTGGAATAGAGGAAATCTGGTGGAAAGGTGAGCTCTGACTCTGCAAGGTGACTTTACCGTGTTTGATAAGTTTATACTCACAAGTGTAAAATCGTTCGGTGCTTATATAAATGCTCACAGGATCAAAATGCAAAGCAGGATGTTATTTCTTGGTGTTGATGTGGGATTGCATCCCAACCTGCATTGTGTCTCACAACCCCTGTTGGGTACAAGGAGGGGAAGCAAGCAGCTCGCGGGGGCAGCAGAGCAAAATCCAGTTCCTCGACCATAGAAAAGAGAAATTAACAGCTTGTCTGACAGCCCCACGTGGAACTCAGCCAGGGAATTCAGGTGCTTATTTCTTGTTTTATATTCTGTATCATGATTGTTGTTATTCTTTGAAAGTGCCCAGTGTTTTGAATGCAGCAAGCTGGTAACGTGGCAGAAGACTTTGACACGTGCAAAGGTGCAGTTAATCAGAACTGCTGGCGCTGTGTTTGCTGTGATGCAACGCGTGGCCCAGGTGGGACGCTAGCAGCGTTTTACAAGAGCGTTTGCGGTTGTAAACGGTTACGGGAAGAGAATGAACACTCCTGTTTGAAAGGACCCTCCTCCAGGTGGGGATAAAGAGCTATTTTAGCACAGGAAAAAGCCTCTGTGACTTGGTGGCAAAGCTGCTGCCATGCGTTCAGCTGTGAAAGTTATGGCTATGATGACCAGAAGGTAAGAAAACGAGAGGTCTGTTGTACTTCCAGTGGGTGATAGAGAAGGAAAACGATTAGAAAGGAATGATTGAGAGAATGAGTGAGCACTGGAGGTGCTTCCTACGAATGACAAGAAGACTCATCCAATTAAGTGAATAAAATAGTTTAATGGGAGAAATTTATTACATGATTTTAGTAACTGTGGGAACTGCTGAGGAGGACCATGGAATGGTGGGCTGTTTATATTTACAGGTCTGTTCTTGAGCCCGCTGAAATCAGTGGTATGGTTTCGTTGTCACATACAGCATTCTCAAACATACACCTGCAGGTTATATATGTACTTTCTCCCATTTTGCAGATGGAGAGACTGAGGTTCAGCATTGTGCCACCTGATGATATACCATTTGCCTAGATTGCCTTTTTCTCCTTCTCCAAATTATAGCAGTCTTTAAGCCACAGCTGCAAAAAGGACTTTTTTTTTTTCCCCAATATCGTTGGTGTGTTTTTCCTGAAAGAAACTTTGCTGGAGTTTGAGCTCTTTTCTCAAAGCATGGTTTGCATTCACTTATCTGCTTTGGTGCTTGCTCTGTCTTTTTTGATCAGTCGCTTTGCTAGAGTTTTCTATTGGGTGAGGAAGTGCACAGCTGCAGTGATTAACTTCAGCCATGCCAACACCTCACCTGCGTAAGCCACCATTTTGTCACCTTGGTGTAATCACAAACAGCTTTCCAGTTTTGGTCAAGCTTAACAAGGCAGCCAAGTTCTTACGATTGCCGCGGAAACAAATGACTTGGTAATGCACTTGAAGTAAAGCAGAGTTTGCAGGAAAAGATGCAGTCTTTTATCAAGTCAGTGATGAGTGGTGGGAGAAGCAGGAGAGCTTTTGCCCACTCTGCGATCTGCTGAAGTCTGACTTCCCAGCTAGAATTCCAAGCTGGGAACTGATTCCCATACGTTTAACTTGATTAGGTTAATTGATTAGGTTAATCAATACATCTGAGAGAAACTGGTGAAGTAGAAATAATCTAATTTAAAGAAACAGCATAGATTTCTGATTAATGAGACAAACCTTGTTGCTTGTGCAGAATGAAAGTGATTTCATCCCTTATTGTAAGGACAGGTTAGAATGTCATAACAGCAAGCAGCTCTGTCAAAATGTTCTCTTGGCTGGAGAGCTGTTTGGGTGTCCGGTATGTCAAGGATAGATGAAATGATGAGAAAATATGGTCTGATGGGAGCAAAACCAGACTACCGGATAATGAGAATTCAGCTGGAACAAAGCCTGGAGTCCTGTAGGTGAAAAGGGGCATTTTCAGAACAGTGGAAATGTTTCTGGTTCAGCTGAAGCAACATTTCTGTCCAAACCTGTTTAGCGCATGCAGGTGTCGACATTACCCATCCCTTCTCTTACATGCACAGACCTGCCAGGGCTTGAAGTCAGTTTGTTGGATAAAGATGATGCTTCCTTTGCTGTCTGAGGAGAAAAAAGATAACCTACACATTATGTCTAACCTCTTCTGAATGAAGCAACAGCAGGCTCTCAGGTTGTATTTAACCATTGCAGGGCGACATGTCCACCTCTGACTGCTTTTAGTATGTAGGTCTATGAGTAATCTCATAGATTGTACCTTTAATTTATTTAGGTAGGACAAAAAAAATCAAGTATTAAATTTCTGACTAAAAAAGTGTGTATATTGTAGTAGGATCTTACAGAAAACTGGCAATTCTCAAAGGATAGGGCCTTCTACGTGGGGTTCCTCTTCAAGTTGTGGAAAGCCATGCTAATGACACTTGAGGCTACTGTGCACCTCTGCACTGTGAGTCACAGGGTGCTCAGACAGAAACTGAAGGCTCCCTAGAAATGTAGCTCTGGCTTTTTGTTTATGCTGTAGCTATTCTGGTACATCAGAGAGCATTTTCTCTGTCTTTTAAAGTAAAGTTTGCAGAAACTCTTTGGTATGAGGAGACCCAGAAGCAGGGGACAGGAGTGCATCAGAGTGGGTACCTACTGAAATGTGTCATCTCCAGGGGCTGGTGGAAACGGGGCCAGAGCAGCTCTGAAGGGAATAGGCAGAACTTATGCTGTAAAACACTTTTCTTTTTTTCCTTTATCAGTTGATTGCTGTTACATGCACTCATTTCTCTTAATTTCTGCAAATTTGTTACATTTCTGCTTAATTTCTGCAAACAGAGATTGCATAAGGTGCTGCATGGCAGCACTGCGTCAGTAGTCCCCGACTCCAGCTTGCCTCCCATGGTCTTTAGGGTACCTTAGCAATCCTCTCATTTACTATGGAGTGTATTTTGTGCCTTTTTATGTGTGCTCTCGAGTTTCCAAATTTAGGACTGAAGATTTTCTTGTCAATATGAAGTGCTAGAATATACTTTGGTTAATGAAAACTGGATTTGTTCCATCAGTATAAGAATCCAGAAGCTTGAGGAATAAGTAACCCAGGCCTTTCACAACCTGCAATAAGATGTGTCTCTTGGCAGTATAGTGTGTGATGCATTAAGCAGGGAGTTAAAACAACTGTTGGATCCAGAGTTTGAACAAACCCGAGTACAGTGAGAATTACTGCTACTGAAACTGAGTTTGTTTTCTTGCTGCAGGGATTGAGGGCTAGGGTTTGGGCTATGAAAAGTAACAATTTTTTTCAAATACCATTTTCCAGTCTAGTTGACAAGTGATCTAAATTCTGATTTTTTTAATTTAATGAGGTTAGGCTGGAGGAAAAAACACTTTGTTCCATTTCTTTTCCTGTTGATTTTGAAGGAAACGATGCTTCAAGTTGAAATATACAGCTTTGTTTGTTTCTAGATATTCCCCATATGTCAAAAGCAAGGCCTTTGTGCAGTAAGATAGGCACGAGTTGCCCGGCATTGACTTCAAGCTTGCTGTTAGAGCTCTCCTTGCTATTTATATTTTGCCAAACTGACATTTCTAATTCCCAGATCACCATTTTCCTGCAAAATGCCATTGAACACAATATCAGGTTTTCTTCTCTGAGTTGCAGTGCTATACTCAGGGCTGCCTTTGGCTGCATTTCCATCACACCACTGGGTGCCCACGCTTCCCCAGATGGCAGTCATGGGAAGGAGGGGTGATGGCTCCGGTGTGTCTGACAGGCAGTTTCCCCAAGGATCCTATATAGCCATCACCATGGCGAGGTGTCCTTGGATTAGATCAGCATCCAGGCACTTTTATAGCCCCAGTACACAAACAAAAAAATCGTTTAACAAGTAAATGGAGCTCTATGCTACTTAATAAAATACAGTATAGAGTAAATAATTGCCTTAGGAAGGGATACGGTCCAGAGTTGTAGTATGGATGGAATAAGCTCATGGTCTTGTGACTGATACGGTATTTTTATCCATTATTTTTATCCTTCCATTTAAAAGCAGATAGCACTGTTCTCAGAGAGCAGTGAATCTATTTAGTAATACCTCTAATAATCTCCTTTTCCCCTCAAGTGCTGTTTGAGAAACAGAATGTCTCTCTCCCACTAACGGCTGTCTGCCAACAGTCTTTCATCTGTATCCTTTCTGATTCTGCAGTCATTTACTCATTTAAAGCATTTGCTTTTAGAACATGCAATTTTTAGCTCCTGCCTGCCAAGATGAGAGGAAATCAACATAAATTGCTGGGGTGAGTGACCAGGAGATGACAGTTGAAAGCCTTGGAAATTGGGAGTTTCAACCTGACAAGCAAGATGAAGTATGCACAAATGGGAAACTGCGCAGAGCTTGTGAAGGAGGATCTGTTACAGGACCTCAAAAAAAGAACATAGAAAAAGGGCAATTAAGGACGATCCTTTAAGATAGAAAGAAATTGTGTCTTAAGATTCATTTAGGAAACTCCTGTGAATGCTGGACAGGGCTCTGAGTATACAAAAACCAACGGAAGAGCTCCGGTTGGCCTCTCTGCTGAGAGGTGATTGCTTTCAAAACTATTTGCCTATGGGCCTTTTAAGATAAAGACCAAGGAAGCTAAGTATTCCTTGAGAGAAGCTTCCCATCCATGCTGAGTGTTGAAAGGAGGGCTGTGGTTTAATGCTGATAGGCAGTGAAGGACCACGCAGCTGCGCTCACTCTCCCTCATCAGGACGTGGGATGCGGGGCAGGAAATGAGATGCAGGAAAAGCTTGCAGGTTTGAGGTAGGAGCACGGGAATAATAGAAAAGCACAGGCCGTGCTTGGGAGCAAAAGGAGAAAAGTATTATTCTCAACTTCCCATCAGCAAGTGATGTTGAACCAAATCCTGCAAAGCATAGCCTCAATATGCAAGGAGGTTGCTCTGGGAGAAAAATGCTTTCTTAATGAGTGTTCTCTTACTGCCTTGTGCTTTCCTCCTTGTCTGACATCTCCAAGGGCACGTCAGCAAGCAAACAACTTGTATGTGCCTAAATTAAGTAGGTAAGGAGTCTCACAGCAGGCAGTTTAGCTGAGTTACCACTAGTCATTCAGCCTTTCCAAGCCTTATTTTCCCTTTTCTCTAATGAGGTTAAAGGGCCTTCCTTCTTTCATAAGGTTGTAGTGAGGAAAAACATTGAACATCAAACACTGTGAGGAAAAACATGGAACATTGAACACTGTGGGAAATTGCTGTGGCACTCAGATGTCGCCTTAGAGCTCCTCTTGACTACTGTT